AAAAAAGGGGGGGGGGGTTTCTTCCATACAAAGCTAACTATGGACTAGGGGTGTAACGATTTATCGTTGTACGATTTATTGCGATGAAAAAATGTCACAATATGCATCATGGCGTTATGACAATTTGATTACAATATGACGTCCGTTTTCTCTTGTTAGTTGAGCTGTTTCCACATGAGCTACGTTCCCCCTGCTGTCGCGCGTGAGTTCAGATTGCAGCAGCAGTAATGTTAGCCGACCAAGATGAGTGGAGTTGAAATAGAGGATGGCCCATCCTCTCAAAATCAGACGTCTGGCAACATTTCGGTTGTACAGTCATTGCTTTAGACTCGTCCGCTTTTTGACACGCATACTGGGTCAAACATAGCCTAAGTTTTAAAGTCTTCACAGTGATTTACATACTTTGCACAGCGACATGGATACCTCCTAATGGTGTTGAAAGAGTCACATACTGTATTTATAAGGTACAATTCACCCTAAAATATCATTCTGTCTTCATATAATGATGTATTGGCGGCCGCAAAATCACACATGACGTGAGCTGACCGTGAGCTGTTACTACAGAGGGCGGACTATGATAGACGCGCGCGCGTCTGCTTCAGTGAACAGAACCTGCAGGTTGTGACTAACAGGTAATAAAGTAGTAGACAACATTCAGTTTGTGGAACAGAGTGATCGTTCAGGAGCCGCATGGAAAGTATGAACAGCACTTAGCAGTGGAAATGAAACCGAAAACGTGCACATTATTTAAACAATCATATCGCATTTTAGAATTATGATTACGACAAGCATTAACTCTTTGGAGTACAGAGGTACACAAAAATGCACGTCAACATGAGACACTTGATAGCGCCGACATCAGCGACGCCGAAGAAATAGTAAACCTGCCTAAACTGCTGAAAAGAGCCACGACTGTCCTGTTTAATGAAAAGGCGGCCACCCTGTCACTCATCATGCCCAACATGAAGAGAGCCATCCATAAAAACCTCTCAGACAGATACACATCAGTTCAGGATTATCTTATAAAACTGCTGATTACCTGGAAATGTGGATTTTTTTATTTTTTTATTTTTTTTTGCGCACAAAAAATGCAAGTGACCAAAGCCTTAAGCTCTTACTGTTAAATTCAATTGAATAGAAAGCTATTTTTTTTGCACCTTTACTTAAATTACTTAAATGTTCCTTAATTTTGTCTCTGTCATTTCAATAATATTTTATAAGAAGTTTTTAAATTGTTTTATTTTCCAGAGACAGGCCTGTTTAATTTATTTTCTTAAAGAAGGTTCCGTTTATCAAGTTGAAACAAAAGAAATACATAAAAAATAGTTTACTTGGTAATTAGTTTTTTTTAAATAAAATTTGCATTTCAGTTTAATTTTCAATTTTTATTCCAAATATCGTGATGCATATCGAATCGTGAGCATTATATCGTGATACACATTGTATCGTGAGCTGAGTGTACCGTTACACCCCTACTATGGACTGAAACTGTGGTTTTATATAGTCAAAGGGGTATCATATGATTGGGAGATCGTGATTTGTAAATGCTAGATCAGCCGTGATAAATCATAAGCACGTGATCCTCTCGAAATTTGTTTATAAATAAACTTCACTTAAAAAAAATGTCATGCGACTAAATAAATCAGTTGATTTTTGATTCATTCATTCATTTACCTTCAGTTTAGTCCCTTAATTATCAGAGGTTGCCACAGCGTAATTGACCACCAACTATTCCGGCATATGTTTTATGCAGCGGATGCCCTTCCAGCCGCAACCCAGAAAAAGGGAAACACCCATACATTCTCATTCACAGACACACTCGTAAACTACGGTCAATTTAGTTCATTCAGTTCCCCCAATAGCGCAAGTCTTTAGACTGTGGTGGAAACTGGAGCACCCAAAGGAAACCCACACCAACATGGGGAGAACATGCAAACTCTACACAAAAATGCCAACTGGCCCAGCTGGGACTCGACCAGCAACCTGGGACTCGACCTTGTTGTTGTGAGGTGGCAGTGCTAACCACTGTGCCACCGTTCCCGTGTTTTCTTTCTCATGTTTCGGTTCTCTTTCAGTCAGTGCACCAAAAGAGGACATTCCTCACTGCATTCTCGCTTGTGAAACAGCTGGCGAGTGTTTTTTTTTTTTCCCATGCATCGACGTCACATATCTGCTCAGGTCTCTGACGACAGCTGCCTAGCGGTTAGCGGTGTAATCCTGCCTACCCCTCCTGCTGCCTGTGGTAAGTCATTAACAAGCTAACGGAACAGATTTCACTCCGGCACGAGGCAGCAGCTCCGCATGCTATTCACAGGTTCTCTCGCAGATTGGGGACACACAGAAAACAGCTGATCAAGTGAGAGTGTGACGTTCAGCAGGTGCTTTTAACACACCTGATGAACATTACCTGCATCAAACTGCAAAAAAAAATGCTTTTCTTATTTAGATTCATCATCATATTTTAGATTTTGTCATCTTCATATTTTGTAGTAAACAAAAATCATTTCATGACCTATTAAATCTTACATTTAGTATTAAGTGATCAAAATGCGGATTCAAAATACTATTAATTAACTTAATTTTTATTTAAATCACTATAGTGTCTATAATTCAAACTGTTTGTCAGTTCAAATGTTAAATAAAATTGAAATGTTTGGTTGCTAGTCCATATTTTTTAAAATTCTCAAATTTAGAAGCATTTTCTAGACAAGCAAAAAGTAGTGTTTTAAGAAATAATAGGCAAATATTTAGTGATTTTGTCTTTAAAACAAGCTAAGTAATCTGCCAATGGGGTCAGAAAAATTATATATATATAATTGTATTTATTTATATATATATATGTGTGTGTGTGTATTTATATATATATATATATATATATATATATATATATATATATATATATATATATATATATATATTTTTTTTTTTTTTTTTATGTTACAGCCTTATTCCAAAATTGATTAAATTAATTTATTTCCTCAACATTCTACACACAATACCCCATAATGACAATGTGAAAAGGGAGTTTTTTAAATTGTTACAAATTTATTAAAAATAAAAAAAGTTGAAAAATCACATAAACGTCAATATTCACAGCCTTTGGCATTAAGCTCTAAATTGAGCTCAGGTACATTCTGTTTCCACTCCTCATTTTTGAGATGTTTCAGCAGCTCCAGGGTTGACAGTGCATGTCAAAGCACAAATCAAGCATGAAGACAAAGGAATTGTCTGTTAACCTCCAAGACAGGATTGTCTGGAGGCACAAGGCTGGGGAAGGTTACAGAAACATTTCTGCTGCTCTGAAAGTTACAATGAGCACAGTGTCCTTCATTATGCATAAGTTGAAGATGTTTGGAACCAGCAGGACTCTTCCTAGAGCTGGCCGGCCATCCAAGCTGAGTGATCAGGGGAGAAGGGCCTTAGTCAGGAAGGTGATCAATAACCCGATGGTCACTCTGTCTGAGCTCCAGTGTTCTTCTGTGGAGAGAGGGGAACCTTACAGAAGGAAATCATCTGTGCAGCAATCCACCAATCAGGCCTGTATGGTAGAGTGGCCAAACGGAAGACACTCCCCACCTGGAATTTGCCAAAAGGCATCTGAAGGACTCTCAGACCATAAGAAACAAAATTCTCTGGTCTGATGAGACTAAACTAGAACTCTTTGGAGTGAATGCCAGGCGTTGCGTTTGGAGAAAAGCAGGCACAGCTCATCACCAGGCTAATAGCATCCCTACAGTGAAGCATGGTGGTGAACTGGAAGACTAGTCAGGATAAAGGGAAAGATGAATGCAGCAATGTTCGGAGACTTCCTGAATGAAAACCTGCTTCAGAGTGCTCTTGACCTCAAACTGGGGCGACATTTCATCTTCCAGCAGGACAATAACCCAAAGCACACCACCAAAATGTCAATGGAGTGGCTTCACAACAACTCAGTGAATGTCCTTGAGTGGCCCAGCCAGAGGCCAGACCTAAATCCTATTGAACATCTCTGGAGAGATCTGAAAATGGCTGTACACCGTCACTTCCCATCCAACCTGATAGAGCTTGAGAGGTACTGCAAAGAGGAATGGGTAAAAATTCCCAAAGACAGGTGTGCCAAGCTTGTGGCATCATATTCAAAAAGACTTGAGGCTGTAATTGCTGCCAAAGGTGCATCAACAAAGTATTGAGCAAAGGCTGTGAATACTGATGCACATGTGATTTTACAGCTTTTTATTTTTAATAATTTTGCACCAATTTCAAAAACTCTTTGTTCATATTGTCATTATGGGCTATTGTGTGTAGAATGTTGAGGAAATAAATGAATGTAATCCATTTTGGAATAAGGCTGTAACATAAAAAATGTGGAAGAAGTGAAGCGCTGTGAATACTTTCTGGATGCACTGTAAATATATAATTTAATATTTTAAATATATATATATATATATATATATATATATATATATATATATATATATATATATATATATATATATAAAAATATATATTATATTTAAAGTGTATATATAAAGTATTTACAGCGCTTCTCTTCTTACACATTTTTTATGTTACAGACATATTCAAAAATATATTACATTTATTTATTTCCTCAACATTCCACACACAATAACACAAAATAAAAATATAAACAAAGAGTTTTTGATATTTGTGCAAAATTATAAAAAATAAAAAGATGTAAAAACACGTGTGCGTGTGTATACACACCCATATCTCTATATTTTG